GGCTGACAGACAGGCAGGCCCAGCTCATCCCTGGAAGTCCTGTTCCTGTGACCAAACCCATCTTTCCCATCACGAGACTCAGGGCTGCCAGCACGCCACACCAGCCTAGGAGGTAGTGCTTTAGGGGCTGCTGGAACGTTCTGGAAGGCTGAGCTGTGAACGAGTTGTCTCTGCAGAGACTGGATGTCTCAGTGTGGAAAAGCCTCAAGGCAGCCCTGAGACGGATGCCTGGGACGCACTTCCAGTGTCCTTGCACAGGGAGGCAGTACGGCCAAGATGTTCCGTTTGTCTGAGAAGCTCAGGAATTCAGACATTTGGGGTGACTTCCCCTAGCACAAGATGGCCTAAGCCTTCCCTCGTGTCTGACGAGCAGGCCCGGGCATCCCCTAGCAAGTGCTCAGGCGAGACGGGAACAGACAGAAGATACTAGCTGCCATCAAGTGGATCTATGGGTCAGGTCTGACTCAATGGCAGTGAGTTTAGTTTGGTGTATACACACACACACACACACACACACACACATCTTTATGACTAAAAAGAAAAGTACAAAAATATGCTTGTATATTGATTGCAGCAGGAAGAGCCTGGAACTCTTGAACAATCCTAGACTTTTGATCTTTACTGTGTCTGCCAATGGGCCTTTTTTAAATGATTTTTTTAAAAAAGACAAAAACCAAAAAACTTTGATTTGGGTGAAAGGTTACAGAGCAAATTCATTTTCCCTACGGCAGTTCATGCACATTTTGTTTCGTGACATTGACTGCAATCCCCACAATGTAACAGCTCTCTTCCCGCTTCCTCCCTGTGGTCACCTTATCCCTGTGTCCTTCTTTCCTATGCATCCCTGCCATCTGAACTACCTCCCTGTGCAAATACTGTCCTAGTTTCCCATGGTTCATTGTTCAAAGGAGTGTACTTGTCTGGTGTAAATGTTCACCCTATGCACCTGTCTATTGTTTGGCTGGAAGCCAGGGGAGTGAATGCAATTCCAGGTCCCAAGGGTGACTAGGAGCCATAGTCTTGGGGGTTTCACCAGTCTCTATCAGACCAGCAAGCCTTGTCTTTTTTATGATTTTGAGTTTTGTTCCACATTTTTCTCCCACTCTATGCAGGATTTTCTATTTTATCTCTTTGCAAGTGAGTGACAGTGGTAGCTGGACACCATTTGGTTCTTCTGGTCTCAGGGTCATGTAGGTTGGGGTTTGCATGGTCCACTAGTCCCTCAGACTAATTGTTTCCTTGTGTCTTTGGTTTTCTTTATTCTTCTTTGCTCCGGAAGAGAAAAGACCAATTATTGCATCTTAGATAGCCAGTTGCCAGCTTTTATGACCCCAGTCACTACTCACCAAAGTAGGATATAGAACAATGTTTTGTGTAGTATGTCCCCTGTGAGCATGGTTGATAAATATATATTTTCTATTGTGATAAAAATATAGAAAACAAAACATTTGCCATTTCAACAGTATTAACATGTACAGTTCAGTGACATTAAGTAAGTTCATTATATTGTTCAACCATCACCAGGAACCATTCCTGCATTTTTCCATGACCCTTAACAGAAGCTCAGTGTCCCCTCCATGTGTGTCCTCCTTTCCCCCTCCTTCTTGCCTGCCCCTGGTGATTGCAAGTAAACTTTGATCTCTGTATTTCATATAAGTGGGATCATACAATATTTGTCCTTTTCTTATTGTTGTAAAAATATAGCTAACGAGACGTTCGATACTCGTCCTTTGTGACTGCCTTATTGCACTCAGCAGTGCCAGTGCGTCTTTGCTCTCACTTATTTCCACAGTTTTGTTGTCTTTTCTCTCATTAATAGTTGCATCAACTGTTTGGCCATTCTTGCCTAAACATGGAATAAAGAGATTTTCTGTGCACAATTAGTTTCAGATTTTTCTTTAGAAACCAGTGAAGCATCTTGTTTAAAACGTTATGTTTCCTTCCACCCAAACTTCCAGGTACAAAGGATTTAAAGGCAACTGCTCCATGACCTTCATCGACCAGTTCAAAGCCCTGCACCAGTGTAATAAGTACTGTAAGATGCTGGGGCTGAAGTCCCTTCAAAACAACAACCAGAAACACAAGAAGCCAAGTGTTGTCGGCAAAAGTAAGGTCAGCCGAACTCCACAACAGTGAAGAAAACAGCACCGGGGACCCCAGCGGGAAAGAAGAGCTAGCAGCTCGCGTTCACGAAGTGTCGCATGCTCGCAGCACACACGTGTTGTGAGTGAAGCATGGAAACACACAGAGACTCCACGGTCTGCAGTGAGTGGTGTGACAATACTTCTTCCCAGTTGACCGTGCTCCAAAATGCTTCTAAACCCATCCCCTCATCTCCCCTGGAATGACTTTGGAAAGACCAGACTCACCGAGAGACAGAGTCAATTCTCAGTGTCAAAGACAGTCCACTCTTTGTCCACACCCTTAGCATTTCCACCAGCCTCACGTTATGTGTATATTTGTGTCTTTGCATGTAGTTTTATTGTCAAGGCCAGTGCTGAGCAGGGTCTGTCCACAGCCCAAACCATCCCCACCCCCACTGCTAACGTCAGGATCTTGAGATGACATGCAGCTGTGATGTAAACAAAGCGTGACCTCCTTCATCAGGTCAAGTGTGTTAGCCTCAAACATGTTACTGTTGCTAGAGACATTTTCCAAAAATAGAGGCTGCTTCCCACCAGGATTCACCCGCCCACTTACCATTTTCTGTTTAATTAAATTCATATTTAAACAAAAAGTGTAAGATGCATGTATCATTCATAGATGCTTTCTTCTTTAGAATTTGTGCCTTATTTCAAGTTCCCCCAGGATTTAGCCTTTTCTTTTGAAAAGGTCACAGGCCTGCAAACCTACGGAGCAGTTCCCCGTACCCACTGGGTCGCCATGAGTCAGAATTAACTCCACGGCAGCTAACAGCTACAACAAGAACAGTTTCCTAGAGGCGCCCCCAGGTGATGCAAACAGTTAACTTGCTCAGCTGCTAACTGGAAGGTTGGGGGTTCAAGTCCACCCAGGCACCTCAGAAGAAAGGCCTGACAGTCCACTCCAAAAAAAAAAAAAAATCAGGCATTGAAGCTGCTGTGGAGTCAGTTCTACTCTGATACACATGGGCTCGCCATGGGTCGAACTGACTCAGCCACAGCTGGCAATTTCCTAATGAGTTGACTGGAGCACAGAAGCACAGACTATTTACTTCTGTGTCATTCCCCCTGCCCCCCTTTGCCCCCT